GTATTTCTCTTTCTTTCTCTTTCTCTGGCAATTCTTCATACTCATTTCTAGTCTATCTCTCCTTCTTTCTCTTTCTCTCTCTCTCTCTCTCTCTCTCTTCATTCCATTTTACGAATTCTTTAAATAGTGACTTCTACTCTCTTTCTCCGAATTTTTACAAATTGTCACTTCAAACCACACCCTTTCTTTTCTCCCTTCCCTCTCACTTTGTCTATGAATTCTTCATAAAAGGTAATATCTACTCTCTTTTTCTCCTTCTCTCCTTTTCTCTCAATTTTTATAAATAGTCCTTTTTAGTCTGTCTATTTCTCCTTTTCTCTTTACCAGTTCTTTAATCGGTCATTTTTACTCTCGCTTTCTCCTCTCTCCCCACTTTTTAATCTCACGTCTCTTCATGTCGTAGGCTATGGGTCTCCACAGATCCACTTTCCTTTATCATTTATAAATTGTAATTTCCATGGAAAGATAGTGCAGTAGTTTCACGTTGATCTTTTTATATCATTAAATTAACAAACAAATGTAATGTTGAAAGCCAATTTATAATTCATTTTAGCTAAGTTTTGGAAGCTGAGTCCAAAGATTAAGTTCATTTTTACTGGTTAACTACACATTTTTGCTGTACTTGAATATTTAGAAAAAGACTATTTATTGGCAAATGTCCTCTAATGTTCAAATGAATTATGAATACTTGCTACAAAAAACATGAATTTATTAATTAATTTCTGATTGCTTAAAGACTTAGTTTTCATCTATATATAAAATTCTATAACTTTCATTAGTTCGTCCATTTGTCGCACCCTCTAAAATAGCCATATATTGACCGATCGAAACCAAATTTTGGGGAGAAGTGCAAACAAGTGAGGGGAGTACAAAGTACAGTTAGTTTTACGTAGGTGAGTAATTTAGTACAATAAATTTTCATTAATTTTTTGGAAAAATTGAAAGTTTTATTATTTAACATAAAAATACCCACACTATTTAAAAAAACAATTTAATGCTTAAAATAACATTTAATAAAAATGCAATATTGTTTTTCGCATATTTTTTGTTTAAGCCTTTATAGACTAGAATCCAGTTTCAAGTTTGCTCTGCGTTTGCGAGAAATATAAACAAATCACAAGGCCAAACGCTTCGAAAAGTTGGAATTTGGTTCCAGAAAGAAATATGTACGCATGGCCAGTTGTATGTTGCATGCTCATGAGTAAGAAATCCTAAGAATTTAAACTTCACTGTTAAGAAGGAAAAAGTTGATTTGATCAGGATTTGTTTTGTAGAGTAATTGGCCATGGTTAAATGTCATTGGCAGAAATGCCCAACAAACAGAATCGGCAAAGTTTGCAATAAACATTAAGAAAAGAAAGAAAATAATAGTCCATAAAGAATACGAAGCAAACAATATATGTAAACAATATATGTAAAGCAAAAGTTGACAAAGCAATAGTAATGAAGCAAAAACGTTCACAAAGTAAGAATGGTGTTGATACACAAAAGGGTTACAGACAAGTGATCACAGCGTTCTGACTTGAAGGCAAGAAAAAACAAGAATATAGAGGTAAGATCGAAAAGCAGACTATTTTATTGACTATGAAGAAATCCCAGCATGCATCTGTATGTTTTTTTTTATGATTGCGGGCCTCGGGCAGTTCTTTGTGACCCTCGCTATCTTATCAACATTTGCTTTTTTTTTGTTTTTTTTTCTACCGACATTTATATACGTTACAAATTAAACTAAGCACAACTAACTATTAAAAGAAAGATTCTCGCGAATTTTCATGTCATTTTGGGGTATTTTTTTTGGTCCAAATCCGTGAATTTGCTTTTCTCATGCTAAATTTCGAAAAAAAAAACACTATTTAAAATTCACTATTTTTTATTCATAATATTGAATGCGCTAAAATTATTCAAACTTTTAACACGAAAAATCTCAAGTTCATTTTCATTGCCGCAAAACATTGTTGATTTATTTAAGATGGGATGATCTATCATGACATGTCTCTGATTTGTACTGAGATATATTATATTTTTTTCAATTTTCCTAGTTGAATTGTTTATTTATATTGCATTGTACATAATTAGGTTACAATAAAATTTGTATTTTATATTAATACTACCTTATGAAGATTAAGATGTAATAGAGTGGGCACTCCGTATCATAGATTTGGTGGGATAACATAGATTCCTGGAAAGGGGGGTGGCGACCCTTCCACCGGCTCAGGTACTTGGGAAGCCTCTTGAAGGATCTTGATGAATTCTCTAGAAGGCAGTGTGTGTGTGTGTGTGCTGTGTAGAAAAACGTGGTTGTAAGAATCTAAAAGTTTCGGCATGTAAATGGATTTTTGGCTTAAGTAGGGTTCATGACTTTCTGTGGAGTGTGGAAGTAAAATTGCTCAGGAAGTCTGAGCGTGATGCCATATGCACATTGAATATGAACCCTATGGAACACGCCTGGATATTTTGGTTCGTGAAATAAAAAACATATCAAGAATATCTACAATAGATTTGATTTGGTTATCAGTGGAAACTGGTCGGATATTTCACAAAAAAATAGCAGATCAGATATAGTCTGTGCTTCAAATTTGTGAATGACGAGGCCGCCAAATTTTTCTTGAATTGTTTAAATCGTTAAATCTCATTTGAAAGTAGGGCTAGTTTCTGTTTGTTCATGTTCCTGTAGATGTATGCTTGTGTAGGCGGGATTGAGAAATTGCTTAACGGCTGATTTTTAATTGTACAACAGACAAATTCTCGCAATCAATATTAAGCAATCCGAATTAGACTCGTTACTAATGTTGATATACTCTCCTGTAGGTTATTTAAGAGCAAAAGAGAGATGTAGGTTTAATGTTAATAAAACATTCATGGGCTGTTGCTATTTTTTTAATGAAGGGAAGCCTCGTGTGTCATTACTAAAACAGACTCGAGAATGACACTACACCCGCCCCCGAAAAAAATGACTAACTCTTATGGACAAATCAGTCTCCTGATACGAACCTCCATGGAACCCTTGGGATACTTTGGTTCATAAAAAAATGTCAAAAAAATTTGGCGTATCGGCTTCAGTCACTTTCCAACTGCCGTAAAGTTGCCTCCCTCTGCCTTTTCTATAAATACTTTCTTTGTTATTGTTCGGATGAGATGTTCGCTATGGTGCCTAGACTCTTCGAATTTAAGCGCAGTACTAAACTGGCGAAGAGGTCCCATCAATTTAAGCTGAGAAGTTTAGATATAAAGGTTTGTTTCATAAAAGAAAATGTCAAAAAAAATCTGGCGTATCGGCTTCAGTCTCTTTCCAACAGCCGTAAAGTTACCACCCTTTGGCTTTTCTATAAATATTTTCTTTGTTATTGTTCGGATGAGATGTTCGCTATGGTGCTTAGACTCTTTGAATTTAAGCGCAGTACTAAACTGGCGAGGAGGTACCATCAATTTACGGCTGAGAAGGCGAGATATAAACGTTAAGAGTTTCTTTTCTTGCACTTCTCGCTTGTGGAACTCCTTTCTGGCGCCATTCTTTCCAGACAACTTTAATCTTTAAAATTTTAAATCCAATGTCAATCGCTATCTACTGTCCTCTTAATTGCCCTTCCTTTGTACTCGCTCCTTAGTAATGTTTCTGTTTTCTAATTCTTCCAAACCCAGTAACTGCTTCTGTGTTATTGGCCTTATTACCTTGCTTGGGTTGAACCTGATTAAAAATAAGGAAAAGAAAAATGAATTGAGTTGAAAAAAGCGAAAGGGAAAACATTTGAAAGAAAACAATTATTCAATATCAAACACTGACGAAGGCTGCCGAAGTATCCGAAAATTTTGTAATTTCCAAAAACGTTATTATATTTCTACATATTTACTAAATAATAAAACAAGAAATATGCAAATAATATCTTTGTCTTCACTTTTTATATAGATAGATAGATAGACAGACAGACAGAGAACGTGTGAGAGATCATTGCATTTATCGAAAAACAAAACGTAATCACCTCTCCACTGCCGTAAAGTTGCCCCCCCTCTGCCTTTTCTATAAATACTTACTTGGTAATTGTTCGGATGAGCCCTTCGCTATGGTGCCTAGACTCTTCGAATTTAAGCGCAGTATTAGACTAGTGACGAGGTCTCAACAATTTACGGTTGAGATGGTTATATCTAACCGTAAGTTCTGAGGTAACAGTTTCTTTTCTCGCACCTCTCGCTTGTGGAAATCCCATCCGGCGCCATGCCTTCTAGCCAACTTTAATCTTCAAAAAAGAAAGAAAGAAAAAAAGAAAGATATCTGCTGTCTTCCTGATTTCTCTTTCTCTGTTCTCGCTCCTTAGCAATGTTCTTGTTTCTATCTCTTGCACACTCAACAACCCCTTGAGTCTCGGTGGCTTTACTACCTTGAATTGGTGAACTCTTTTAAAAAAAATGTACAAAAGATTTGTTTCAACTATTAGTGTCGTTAAGCCGGATATTCCACAAGAAAGGATAACAGATCTGATATGTTTGAAAGATTAAATGTTCTGAATTTATTTAAATGTAAGCCAACTGAATTTTTATACGAAAATCTTGAAATATTTAAATCGTTCAATGATAATTCTGATTGAAAATGTATTTTATCAGATTTCTTTGTATACGTCTGCTTGTTGGATGAGGTAGCTGACTCAAGCGGTCGGTATTTGAGCCCAAGTAAAATTGGTAATTTGGTTCATAATTTTCAAAACAGACAGGTGTCTAAATTTAGATAATTAGAATAATATCTTTTCCCCCGTTGTTTACTCTCATCCGATTTGATTTTCAAAAATGTTCGACGCTCATTCGGAACGTTCACGGTTTGAACGTATATCTTACCAAAAAAAAAGAAAGAAATGTTATTACAAATCTAACAAAGACTTTATAAAATCATCATGCTTAATACAGTGGAATTATATATACATATATCTATCAAGGAGGCGTATTCATACCACTCTGAATGTTTTTAACATAACAACAAAAAAATACAAAACAGGCTGAACTTTTGCTAGGTTTACGGCCGTATCACATTGAAACATCGGTTCCCATACTGTCACCGAAGTTAAGCAACGTCGAGCTTGGTCAGTACCTACGTGGGTGACTACTTGGGAATATCAGGTTCTGATCCATGATAATTTTCAATGTGATTGCATTTGGATGCGGTTGTAATTATTAAAATATATTACATTGAACCACCGGTTTCCGTACGATTATCGAAGTTAGGCAACGTCGAGCTTGCTCAGTACCGAGATAGGTGACCGCTTGAGAATACTAAGTGCTGTAAGCTTGTATGGCGTAATGGTGGTGTAATGGATAATGGCTCAGAATTGTTAATTGGAGAATTGAGTTCCAATTCTGGTGGGGTTCGGTATATTCACTTACTTGGGAAAGGTATGAATCCACTTCTTCTACCCCCCTGCTATGGGTTAATCGGTAAGACTTTACAACTAAGTCATTATTATCTCACAAAATAAAATTAAAATTGCGTACAAAATATTTAGATTTCGGCATTAAATAACTCATAGAGGTGTTGATATGCCGCTATACAAAAACAACTAACCATGAAAGTTTATGCAATATTGATTCCATAAAGAATAAAAAAACAAAAAAAAAAGTTTGACTGTCGAAAATGTACACCTTTCGCTAACAGCAGAGTCCGAATGTCAACATTTCTGAAACAAGAAAAGTATTAATTACACGTCGGCTTTTGAAAAGCGCTTTTCGCTAGGGTCGATGGCCTCACACATTAGGGGAAGGAAAAAATTCTTTTCGAAAGTATGGATTTTTAAAGGCGATATTCAGCTGTTGCTATTAGATTGCTGATTGCTGCTACAGTGTATTTTCTCTACAGCTAATAATCTGTATTGGAAACTTAACTCGCTAAATCATTTCAATCGACGCTTTTCAGCTTTGATATCCGTTTTTAATTTTTATATTTAAAACTAAAAGCATCAGTCACCTTTGTCCTGCGTGGTACGATAATCCATTATAAATATCGTCCCTGTTTTATAATCCCAATTCCAGGCAAATTCCCGCCAATAACATGACATTAGTACCTGTACAATATCTTTCCAACGATCAAACGAAAAACCAATATTTTCCTATGCAAAGCCAGAAATTCTTTTAGAGAAGGCGAATAACATTTTGCTAACTGTACTCTTGTGTAAAATACGATTGTTTCATTGAATGTTACCATCCGTGGCACGTTGTTTATTTTTCAAATAATTATTTTATTCACCGTTTATTAAACGTTTATTGGGTAGAAAATGCATATGAGCTGGCCCGCTTATTTAATATGCTGAAAAATTCCCGCCGGCATGGCTATTCCAGACGCCATTCGTATTTTGTACAAAAAAGTATAATCCAAAATAATTCTCCTTGATTTAAACACATCGGCTTAGAAATTTTCATGAGGTAATCAAATGCAAAGTCAAGAGGTTATAGCAATAAACGCATTGACCTCGCCTGGCATTTCGACTTATTTTATTTTTATTTGTTCTGCTAATTTAATTACGGATAGAATTTCTTTGACATCAAGGGGAGACAACCCTCGAATAAAGTTTATTTGATAAAAAAATAAAAATTATGAAGAAAAAGAACGATGAAAAAAACAGTTCGAAATATTCAACGGGCGAATTTGATTTGATTACTTAATATATTTCTAACGGAATATTTTCCTGGGAGATGCCCCGTTCGCTAAGGTGATGCTCAATAGATACAACAACTGAGAATTTTCTTCTTTTTAGTTAATGTAATTATGTTGAGATTAAATCTCAAAGAATTCACTCTTCATGGGAAATAAATCAGACTGAAACAACTTACAAGAGAGATAGGCAGATAGATATGAAGAGAATAAGATAGATATGAAAAGAATGAGATAGATAGATAGATAGATATGAAGAGAATAAGATAGATAGATATAAAGAGAATGAGATAGATTGACAATGTGAAATGAACGCATTTTTTTTAATCACTTTACCCCAAGCAAGGCAATAAAGCCACTACATCGCAAGGGGTTACTGAAAGTGAAATAAACTGAGAAAACGTTACCTAGCAGAAAAAAAAACATGATTCAAAATAGAAGATGACGATTGACGTTGCAGTTATTTTTTAAAGATTGTAGTTGATAGTAGAGTAATAGATAGCGGCTCGGATTGAGGATCCGAGTTCGAATCCCAGTCGAATCCATTACATTCACTTTCGTGCTAATACTTTTGGGAAAGGTATGGATCCTTTTCTTCTACCCTACCCTCCCAGCTATAGGTAAATAGCAGGAGAACCCGGGTTCTATACCAACTGGATGGCAACCTACTGGAAAAAAATCTGCTTCGAATATCTGTATCAAAATATACAGGGTCGCCAAATAACTGACAGAAATTTACTTACGCGCTAATACCCTTGGGAAAGATATGAATCCTTTTCTTCTGAACTACCCACCAGCTATAGGTAAATAGCAGGACAGACCGGGTTCTATATCAACTGGATGGCAACGTACGGGGAAAAAATCTGCCTCGTCAGTCATGTATCGAAAGATACAGGATCGCTTAAGCGTGTATCACGCATGGCAATACCTGACTGAGTGAGTTGATAAGAATCTGAAAGAGTTCCACAGGCGAGAAGTATGAGAAAAGAAACTATTAGAATAGGACTTACGGTAATATTAAGCACGTGTTGATTGCGAAGAAAGGTGGAAGAAAAAGATATATCAGAGACGATGTTTGGCTTTAATGAGATAATGAAAGTTTAGTAACCCTCATTTCAATTTTCAAACATTTTCTTGAATTTCATTGGTTGTTAAATAAAAATAAGCTTCGATAAATTTCCATGACAAAACAGTCAAAATTTTGTGCAAAAATAGGCTCAACTGACATAAAAAAAATCTTTCTCAAATTCATCCCTAATTTAAATGTTTCAAGAAATCCTATTGGCTAAAAAATAAAAATACAACATTCGCCCACGCATTTCCTAGAAAAATTCGCAACAAGCTACCAAGCTGCTGGAGCCGATTTTGTTGTTAAAAAACTATAAATAGAAACAGCAAACGAATTTTCGTCGCATTTTGAGACTCACACACGCCAAGATACACACGGGAATTATGTGTCAAAATTGCTGTTAAAGAAACAAACTTTCTTTATGAGAGATTGGAAAAATTCATACAACAAACTTTTTCACTTAATATCTGTCATAGAAAAATTGTCTAACTTAAATTCAGCCTTTGAATCAAAGGCAGACAACTTTTTAGACATTAAACATTTCTGAAACAGCAAAGAGCTTTTTCTCTATACCTTTGCACACATCATTACAAACAAAGAAATTGTAAATTGTATATATAAAATTTAATCTGTTGTTTCAAACATGTATTTTTTGTCGTGATTGAATATTGTTACCATTTGGTCATTTCTTATAATATATGTTTGAGGATATTGCGTATTTTATTTGCAGTACAATTTTAAATATTCACGCATCCTTCTTAGATCCACTACAAAAGCGTCATCATGTGTCTGCAGATATTATTTTTCAATTTCAAGTAAATTTCGAGACGAAAATAAATGTAATACAAAGAATAAATCTAAAGATGACTACTTCTTTATAATATTAATTATACTGCACCATTTAATAGATTTAAAAGGACTGATCTGCAGTAAAAAAAAGTTCTGGAAATCTGCCTAGACATTATCCTAATGATTAAACCAATTAGTCCATGTCACGTTAACTGGAAGAAAAAAAACACTTACAACAATAAAATTCGTGAATTACCACATTACTATTTTTAAAAACGTTCTCATTTATTCAAAATAAAACTCAGTTGCGACACTGCACGCCCCCAAATTTTGTAACTGTTAATAACAGACTTTCAGAGAAAAAAAAAACATATTTCGACCATTTATTTTCGTCTCGAAAGTTACCTGAAATTGAAAAATAATACCCATGACTGAACATCTAATCCATTTTACAATTTTTAAAAACAAAGATCGCATAATTCAGCGAGTGGTTAGAAAGTTAATGCTTTATTTAATATGTTAGCGAAGTGAATTCGCCGTTAATTACATTAACTTTACTCATTTAATCTTTGTATGACTACTTCTTATATATATATATAAAGAAGAACAAAATTCAAGAAGAGAGAAAATCTTATAGTATGATGTGTAGGCAGAACTACTCTCCGCATAGGTCGCACTGGGAGGAGTAGATAGGTTCGTCTATCACCCGGTTCACTCACCTCCTCGGTTTTTTCGAGCAGGAGTAGAGGTTTATCTTTTGTTTCCTGTTTAGGATAGGGTTTCCGGTTCCTTCTAAAGTCTACTTCAGCTCTATACTCCTAACGCTTGTCCTTATTTACGCTAATACAACTTCACACGGTAACCTTCTACCATGAGTGGCTCTAGGGCCTTGTATTGGGTGAACATTAGTAAAAAAAAACAAAAAACAATAGTAAATTGTTAACTTATTTAATATTGGTTTATTTAAGTCTTGGAACAAACATCACAATGAATTAATAAATTGATCTGATTTGCACATGAGACAAAAGGTAGACATAAGTACGGTTTGGGTTAATAAATGGTTTACATAAAGCCTTATCTGTGGGGGTGAGGTCTCTTATCCTTTTTACGAGAGGAGAAAACGAAATATAGTTATGTGGTGTATTAGTTATGCGTTTTGAAATAATTTCGTAAGTAATGAATAAGTAGATCACAGCATTGATTTGTGGTGAGTGGTTACTAAATGAATCGTGTGCTGTGGGTGTGTCTGTGTACAGTGATGGTGTGAGGAGGCATCCTGTTACATTCAGGGACTGTTTGCAATACTGATAAGCCTTGCTAAATGTGTTGTCATTAAGGACTCATTTTCCTGACACAGTTTTGGCGGGACGGATACCAAGTTTTAACTGAGCTGGTAGTTTTAAGACTTAAATGCAAGAAAGCGTGTTTGGTGTACGTCCGCTAAATTTGAGAAAGAAGCATTGTTGAGTTTTTCCGTTAATACTGCGGAAAAACTGCTCCGCTCGTAAAAGAAAAAGGGAAGTATTTTTATAACTATTTTTTTTTTATATCGGTATCACCCCATACAAGATATTAAAGCCACTTAGACACAAAGATTTACGCGGTATGGAAGATTTAGGAACAGAAACATTAATATGAGCGGGAAGAAATAGTAATCAGGAGGACAGTAGATAGCGATTGGCATTACATTAAAGCTTTTGCAGATTAAAGTTGACTGGAAAGCATGGAGTCGGAAGGGAGTTCCACAAGTAAAGTAATAAATCCACTAAAACACAAGAGGTTAC